AGTAGGGACTGGAGGCAATATATGCCGAGTTTTGCTTAACAGTTGAAAACGATAAGTATTTTATGTCTGCTTAATTTGATACTCTTAAAAGGTAAGGCCGGGGTTTTTTTTAGTGCACATATATTCTATGCTCTTTACCATGAGCTCTGTTTGCTTACATTTCAGTCAAGAATGTGAGTTTGAATATTTTTTTTGTTTATCTATTTGCATTGACTAAACTAGTATTTGGTTATGCTTGTAAATTCCAGGGAAAAGTAGTAATCATTAGGGGAGGGACCGAAGGGAGGACCAGGCATGCCTGAAATGTTGACACCAACAAGTGCAATAATGGGGGCAGGTCTGGGAAGGTATTGTGATAAAAAGTCTAAGTGGCTTGCCACAATGCCCTAATTTTTCTTTTGTTAATTATAATCTGCTGAGATGCTGTTCTATATTTTTTCCAAAAAATGCAAGAGCTCAATTCTGTGATTATTGGAAGCATAATAAGTTGAATTGGTCTTTAAAATGTTTTAAAACTTCTTACTCATATGGCACTTTCTTTACCATCTCTACAGTTCATTTTCAATGTGAATTGGATCTTTCTATCTGCTGATGTAAATTTGTGCCTTTCAAAATGGTATTTGATTTAAATGCTGCATTTGAATACTCAGGAAGTTGCGTTGCTCACTGATGGTAGGTTTTCTGGAGGTTCACATGGATTCGTTGTAGGCCACATATGCCCTGAAGCACAGGTGAAGTAATTCTCGCTTGAATTGCATAATTTTGCATTCCAATGAGAAACTAACATTTTGCATTTTAGCCTGTGTTTTTGGCTTTGCTTTCTTAGATATAAAGATATGATTTATATCGCATCTTGGACAAAATTGAAGCTCCGAAAATTTTAGAATAAACAAGTGGTGAACAAATTTAATTTGCACTTACAGTAGGACAATATAAAAACTTTTAGTTGCTGGAAATTCTTAAATAATGATTCAGTATGGAATATCGAACTTTGTTTACTTTTAATGTAGGATAGCCAAAGTTCTTGAGTTTCTATGTTTTCAAAACAATCGCCATTGACATATAAGAGAGAGTATTGAACTAGATGCTCATATGTTGTAATTATTATTCCTTTTATTGATACTGCTATCCAACATATGTTTAGTTATGGGTTTGGGTATGACTTTAAATAGATGCTTGATATTGGATTTGCTTACAGGAGGGTGGCCCCATTGGTCTTATTCAAACGGGGACCTCATCAGCATCGATGTTCAGAAGAGGGCCATAAACGTTGAATTGACAGATGCTGACTGAATGAGAGGAGAAAGAATTGGAATCCACCTCCTACAAGGCTAACAGGGGAGTTTTGTATAAGGTGGGAATTGATAATCTTGCATTCCAACCATGTATTGCCTCTATTGTTATTAGTAGATTCCTGATGACATCTCTTTTCTTTTCAGTACATCAAGAACGTGCAACCAGCTTCAAAGGGGTGTGTAACAGATGAATAGAGACAATAATAGCGGACGGGAGTAAGATAAAGAGTAAAAAGAGACGGAGTCATTGCATGCCATCGTTGATGCATGAGGTCTTTTTTCGCATCTCAGTTTAGGTATCCTAGCCCTTAAACGAGAATTAGGTTGTAGTAGGCATCAAGTCTCTTCATTTCCTTTTGTAATTTTGTTCCTCATTATGGGCTTGCAAGGCTTCCTGACTAGACAACCTTTTGATTTTGTTTGCTTTCCCGAGTCTTAAAAAAAGGTGTTTTAAGGGGTATGCAGAGGTACATTTCTGTCATTCAGCAGTAGTTAATGATCATCTGAAAGGGACACCGTTGGTGCATATGTTTAATGGTTTCAAAGTAGAAATTTCTTTGAACATTAAATTGCTCCACTCTCCTCCAGCCTATATTTATTGGCTTATTGACCCAACAAAAATCTTCAAGTACTTGGATGAAAAAAATGACCTTCTCTATAATATAGCCTTTTTAATTAAATTGTAAGGTTTGTTTTGGAAGAAGAGATTCACGAACTAACAGTGTATTAATATAAGCCTTTTAACTAGTAAACCAACATCTCTATTGAATATCAACAAATAATTCAATCAATTATTTTATTTAACAATTAAACTGAGTTAACAAAAATCGATAATATGACTGATTCAACCAACTATCCAAATCATAACATTGTATGACACTATTCAATTTAAGATTTTCTTTATAAATATATAAAAAGGGAACCCAATCAGCGTTGGATTCAATCTTCAGGTTCTCAGCCCTAATAATAGTCTATCAACTATCAAGGGCCCAAATGTCATAGGGCTCCAACATCTAGATCCGACTCGGACCGGGTTATCCAATTTGCCAAACCCTGAAAATCGGAGAAACAAAATCAAAGCCTCAGTGGCGAAGCCGGAGGCTCTCCGAGAAGCGATGGCATTGCCTTCTTAGGGATTTGAAGGGTTCAACTTCTTTGTAATTTCTTCGATTTTCCCTGTACCAATCATCGCGAAACAAAACCTGGTAACGAATTTTTGTAGTATTTTTAATTTCTAAATGTCAAGATTCATTGATTTTTTGTTTTTGTTTTATTAATATCATTATTCATAGGAATTGATATTATTATTAAAGTTAGATTATTCTGGAAATTTTAACAATGTTTTTCAGTTTTAGGGGTTTATTTTATTTTATAATCAAGCTACTATTTGAATAATTGTTGCCTGGGTTTGTTTTTCTAGTTTTATGTAGCACGGTAATAATAAATTTCTAGTTATGAATATAAAAATTGTCTCTTTATGGTCAATTGATGCATTTTGATCTTTACTAGCAAGTTGATTTTTTTCTCTAGTTGTACTCATTGTATAAAGGCAATGATTATTTAGCCCAATCTTCTATTGGGTATGTGGATGTTTAATGTGTTCAAATTTTATATATTAAAATGGGACCTTCTGCAGGTAAAAAATATTTGTGAAAATTTACTTTTGCTTGGTATATTGTGTGCATTAGTCATCATAAAGAGCAATTTTGATGTCTCCTCTATCACTTTTTATGTTGCTTTGGGGATAACTAGCCTTTCAACGAAGTCTAAAGGAGTAATATAGGAAATTAAGGTGACCTTTCTAGTGGTGGCATTTAGTTTGTAGTGTAATGTTCCTAAACTGCTTTTGGACTAGATACAATTCATATCTTTCTGATTGAAGCTTCATGTAAAGGACTGACTTGTATGTTTTGTGCAATACAGAAAATGGAGGTCATGGATGTCGATTCAGTAGTGGACATACCTGACACTCCTGATAGGCCATCTACACAGCGAGTGAATGGAGGGGACTTTGTTGACAAAGAAAGAAATTATAAGTAGCAGGTTGTTGGAGTTCTAATACTACAGGTGAAGGATCTTTGGATAGGCTAAGGGGCAGAGTACGCTGCTTTCTGCAAATGTTTTCAATAGCCTCGAAAACTTTCGACAGTACTTATGAAATCGAATGTCTGAAAAACACCATTGTCTTGTCCCTGGTAGAGAATGCTCGAGAACATGCTCCTTTATTTAGGAAAACAGCCATGGGAGAGAAGCGAAATTCCTTAGAGGAGTAAGTCAAGGATAAAGGAAAAGCTCTTTCCTCAGAGTTACCTTCTAAATCATCTGGGTTCCCCACCATGCCATCCTAGATTTAACTGAACAGGACGCACAACCACCTACCTGAAATGGCATCTCTGCAAAGTGCATCCGAAAACTTCTTAGCTGAAGGAAGAAAAGGTCAGGCACCGAGAAATGGTGGATTTTATGCATTAACTCTTCAGGCTTTTCTGCAACATCCAGAACTAGCTGCAAGGAAAGAGAAAAAAATAGATGATGGACTTAAAAGTATAAGTTCAGTTGTGAGTAATGGAAAAGGGTGGTTCTTTCTAATGATTCCCACTTGGAATGGAAAAACAATTGTCTGCATCCCATCATCGGTTGCCTCACCAAGAGCAATTGGGAAAAGAAGATTGGTCGAAATGGCTGCATTTCCCCCCAGAATATAGCCATCTGGTCTAAACAAAATGAGCAATCACAAAGCAACTTTGGTCCTGAACAAAATTCTGTGAATGGGGTAAAGTCAAGGATAAAGGAAAAGCTCTTTCCTCAGAGTTACCTTCTAAATCATCTGGGTTCCCCAGACCATGCCATCCTAGATTTAACTGAACAGGACGCACAACCACCTACCTGAAATGGCATCTCTGCAAAGTGCATCCGAAAACTTCTTAGCTGAAGGAAGAAAGGTCAGGCACCGAGAAATGGTGGATTTTATGCATTTAACTCTTCAGGCTTTTCTGCAACATCCAGAACTAGCTGCAAGGAAAAGAAAAAAAATAGATGATTTGGACTTAAAAGTATAAGTTCAGTTGTGAGTAATGGAAAAGGGTGGTTCTTTCTAATGATTCCCACTTGGAATGGAAAAACAATTGTCTGCATCCCATCATTCGGTTGCCTCACCAAGAGCAATTGGGAAAAGTAGATTGGTCGAAATGGCTGCATTTCCCCCCAGAATATAGCCATCTGGTCTAAACAAAATGAGCAATCACAAAGCAACTTTGGTCCTGAACAAAATTCTGTGAATGTGGGTAGCAGCAGTCCTTGCATGATTAGTGAGATAGTTGCTGAAGGTAATAAATAATAATGTTAAAGAAAAAAGAGTGCCATCCTCTCATCTAAGGAGCATGATATCAATTTTATTAATTTATCTGGCAGGTAAATTTTAACTGCTGTTCTTTAGCTAGATTTCTTTGCCTATTGTCTCTTGGATGCTTATTGTGTATTGGTTTCATTTATTGTGCTTAAACTTTTGCTAAAGAGACTGGTACAATCTCTGCCCAAACCTTTGGAATAGCATGCAATAAAAAGCTCTATGTAGTATTTTATTTTATTTTTTAATTCGGAACATATTATATTGATGTCTAAAGAATCTTTGTTGTGTGGTTTTCCTGTGAGTAATAAAAGAGAAGCTAATGGTATTGATGATGCCAACAGAGATGCATGCTTTGAAGAAAGAGGTGGATGGAGAAGCACCCGAAACAATTCAAAGGATGTAGATCATGCAGCTGAACTCCAGTTAAGTAGATTTCACTGTTGGATGTCAAGTGAGTCAATGAAATGAAAATGGAGTAGTGAAAAGAAATAATGCTAGAGGAGGAAAGACCAGGATTCCATGTGATTCTCCTGAAACATGTGATGCAACTGAGATAGCTCTTGTGATCCCAAGAATCAACCAAATAAGCGAACCTTCTCATGCAAACATTCTGCCTAAAAGGAGAATGAAACATGTATTGACCTCAATAAATAATGGTGAAAGCTCAAGGGTCACTACTCCTAATGACCCAGACATTGTGTTTCTCGGTTCATCTTCAGAATCATCTCGTTCAAGGTCATCTATAACTCATATTATGGAACATCCAGATGTTATGGATCTTGACAAATCCGAAATGAGAGGGATAAATGCAAATCATATGGACTCTATGAATGATGAGGAAACAGAGGCTAAGGCAAGACAACTAGAAGCAGATGAAATGTTAGCTCGTGAACTCCAAGAACAATTATATCATGAGGTCCCAATCTTTTATGATGCGATTTGATGCTTTCCTCCCTTCTTTAATTGAAAATTTGTTATTTACATACCTTAGCTTTATATATTTATGAACCTTTTAACAGATTGATGAAACATGCATGGGAACTTCAGCAGGAGATGAACTCCTTCCAACATCTTTTCGGACTCTCATGACTAGGTCATGTAGTAAGCTTGAATTCGTTTCTTCTTTTGAGTTGATGGTAACCAGAGAGCCTACAGTTGGTGTGATATTGACTGTGCATCTTGTAGTCCGTTCTGGTGAAGGTTTAATATAGCTGTTAGTTTGTGTATAAACTGGTTCAAACAGACATACAATAGGCATAAGCCTGGCTGTCAAAAGTAGAATAGACTTGGGTCTAGTAATGTTGCCCCTAGATCCTGGCATGGCAAAGATCAGGGTTATGCACAAAATGATCATGGGTTATCCTCAAATAAATAATTTAGTCTTGAAATGTGGATAAATAATTGTTTGCATGTTTAGACTCGAGTGCTTGTTGGCATCTTTGAATATATATATATTTGCATGAAGTTAAATCTTTTTTTCATCTTCCTAGTAGCAGCACATCTATCTTGTGTTTGACAATGATTTGGTCGTTCCTAAGTGGTTGTTTCCTGGTTCATATATTTGGAAGTTAATGTTCCTTGAGCATTGCTAACTGGTGTAGGAATTATAGAAATGAGTTGTCAATCCCTTAAGTTAAGAGATTTTGTAATTATTTTCTGTTTTTTAATCCCTTATTCAAGGATTACATCTCCTAGATTAGTTTCCTTCTTAAGTTTCCTAGTTAGAGGCATAATTGTATATAAATATGTAATATGTTCTACTGAATGTACACAAGAATAAAAATAACAGAGTTGTGTTTTCTACAGTCTGTTTTCTACATGGTATCATGGTTAGAGTGATCATCCGATTTCCGCTTCTCTTTAAATCAATTCCTATTCAACTCTATTTTTTTTTCATGGCTAATCCGGATTCCTCAGCATCCGAAATCACTTCCCAGAAGTGCACGGAAACCAGCCGATTGGCAGCCCACACGGTCCAGGTCAAAAGGAGCCTCATATTGCTCAAGATGATTCCTCAAGCAGTTTTTTAGCAAGAAACAGATAGAGGAATTGCAGCAGATTTTGAGCAGTATGACAGCCAAGCCTACAAATGTGACTTATACTACTGATGGAATAATCCATATGTTTTCTCGTACAATGGATAATAGACTCGGGTGCATCAGATCATATGACAGGAAATATTGATCTCTTGAAGGAATAAATGAAAGCAACTTACCAGCTTCTATCAAAATAGCAGATGGCTCTCACTACAGTCAAAGGGAGTGGTTCTGTTACATTAAACAAAAATCTACTACTTCATAATGTCCTCTATGTTCCTAGAATGCATGCAATCTGTTGTCAATCAGCAAATTAATTAAAGATTTGGTTGTAATGTTGTGTTTAGTACTGGTGGTTGCATTTTAGGCACAGGGCTCGAAGAGGGTGATGGCAGTGCTAAGCTGGGCAAAGGATTGTACACCTTAGAGGTAAAGCAGCTCATCATGCCTTATCCAGATGCTCTTAGGAAACCAATTTTATCTTCTGATCTCAATACCAATAAAATTATATTGACACTCTAGATTAGGTCATCCTAATTTTTTTATCTTTCCAAAATGTTACCGAACTTCATTAATAAGATCCATCTTTGTTTTTCTGTGAATTTGTCAAATGGCCAAACACACCAGAAAACCATATATTCCAGCCAAATTTGAACCAACACCACCTTTTTCCATCATCCATAATGACATTTGGGGCCCTTCTCCTGTCAAAAGTATTTCTGGGTATAAGTGGTTTTTGCCTTTTATAGATGATTACTCTAGGACAACATGGGTTTTCTTAATGAGAGAAAAATCTGAGGTTGAGTCTCTCTTTAAAAGTTTTTATCAAAAAGTAATTTAACACAAAAATCAAAATTCTAAGGAGTGACAATGGGAGTGAGTATTTGAATAAAACCCTTGGGTATTTCTTTAAGGAAAAATGCATTGTTCACCTTACTTCTTGTGTCAACAAACCTCAACAAAACGGGGTAACAGAAAGGAAAAATAGACATCTTCTAGAGGTTACTAGGTCTCTTATGTTTGTTGCTAATGCTCCTAAGTATCTTTGGGGGAAGCTCTTCTTACAGCCACTTACCTCATCAATAGAATGCCAAGTAAGACCTTAGATTTCAAAATTCCTACTAAGGTTATGTTTCAGCTGTATCCCCATTTTGAACATTTAAACTCAAGTCTTTCTCCTCGGGTGTTTGGGTGTACAACTTTTGTTCATATCCACAACAGAGGGAAATTAGATCATAGGTCCATAAAGTGTGTGTTCTTAGACTATTCTTCGAGTCAGAAGGGTTACAAGTGTTACTCACCTTCCACAAAAAAGACCTATGTCTCCTTTGATGTTACATTTTTTGAAAACCAACCTTATTTTTCAGGAACAGAAATTCAGGGGGAGAGTTACAAGGAATTTCAGCCTGCTCAAACCGATATTTCTTTACAGTCTATTAGTTACAAGGAATTTCAACCTGTTCAAACCGATATTTCTTTACAGCCTATCCTTTCCTTACCTATTACTGTCTCTCCAAAGCCGGCTAGCACTGTCCCAGTTTCTAGGGAGGGTGATGGGAATAACCTAAATAACTCTGATGAATTACCTTCCTCCTTATCTCAGCAATCTAGTCCGTGCAAAACACCTTCCACCACTACCAAAAATGCACCTAACAATGACCCTGAAACCATAACTCCCCAACCGAAACAACTCAGTGTTTACTCAAGAAGAAGGAAAGATGTTGCTGAAGAAATCAGTCAGCCTAGCATTTGCCAAGAACCAGATTCGATCCTGTTGCAGCTGAAACAGAATGTAATGATGGTTACCAAGAGGCTACTACTGTTGATCTTGATGACTTTCCTATTGCTATTAGGAAGGGGGTAAGAAAATGCATTGTTCATCCCATAAATAAGTATATTGCATATGGGAAATTACAGTCTAATTTCAGGGCCTTCACTGCCAGCATTAACACTGTGAAAATCCCAAGAAATGTGATAGAAGCATTTCAATCTCCTGAGTGGAAAAAGGCTGTGGAAGAAGAGATAAAAGCGTTGCAAAAGAATAAGACATGGAGTTTGACAGATTTGCCAAAAGGGAAGAGAGCTGTTGGATGCAGGTGGATATTCACAGTCAAATATCATTCGGATGGGAGTGTGGAAAGATACAAGGCAAGGCTGGTTGTTAAAGGTTTTTCTCAGTCCTATGGCATCGACTACCAGGAGACTTTTGCACCGGTTGCAAAATTGAATACCATCAGAATATTGTTATCAGTAGCTGTTAACATGGACTGGAAATTGCATCAGTTGGACATAAAGAATGTTTTTCTGAATGGGAACCTTGAAGAAGAGGTATACATGGAGGTTCCCCCGGATTAGAAGGAAAGGTCACTAAGAAAACTGTGTGCAAGCTCAATAAATTCTTATATGGCTTAAAACAGTCTCCCAGGGCTTGGTTTGATCGATTTGCTAAGGCTATGACATAGAATGGTTTCAAACAAAGCCAAGCGGATCACACATTATTCAGAAAAATTATACCGAGTGGTAAGATAACCCTCCTAATTGTCTATGTAGATAATATGATTATAACTGGCAGTGATATAAAAGAAATAGAAAAGCTAAAGATGAATCTTGCAAAGGAGTTTGAAACCAAGGATTTAGGGAGTATGAGGTATTTCCTGGGTATGGAAGTTGCAAGGTCCGAGGAAGGGCTGGTCATAAACCAACGTAAGTATGTTTTGGATCTTCTTGCAAAAATTGGGATGCTCGACTGCAAACCAGTTGAAACTCCAATGGAACCAGGCTTGAAATTTTGCAAGGAAAGGACTGGAAATCCAGTAAACAAGGAAACCTACCACAGGTTAGTTGGGAAGTTAATCTACCTTTCACTGACCAAGCCTGATATTGCATACTCAGTGAGCATTGTCAACCAACATATGAGTGATCATCGAGAAGAACATTTGGAAGCTGTTAATAGAATTTTAAGGTTCTTGAAATTTACCCCAGGAGCTGGACTTATATTTAGAAAAAATCAAGACAAAATAGTGAAGGTTTATACGGATGCAAGCTGGGGAGGTGAATTAACTGATAGAAGGTTAGTTAGTGGCTATTGTACCTACGTTTGGAGTAATTTGGTGACTTGGAGAAGTAAGAAACAAGCTGTTGTCTCTCGAAGTAGTGTTGAGTCAGAGTTTAGAGCAATGTCTCTCGGAATATGTGAAGGAATGTAGATTAAAAGACTGCCCACAGAACTGGACTTAGATGACAAGAAGAATTTTGAGATTTTTAGTGACAGTCAATCAACTACGAGTATAGCAAAAAACCCAGTGCAGCATGATAGAACGAAACACATTGAGATAGACAGACATTTTATTTACGAGAAGGTCAACAATGGAGTTGCAAAACTGCAGTACATTCCGACGAAGAAACAGCTGGCAGATATCTTCACCAAAGCCTTTCCACGAGTGACTTTTGATGAGATGTCATTCAAATTGGGTATATACAACATATATACACCAGTTTGAGGGGGAGTATAGGAATTATAGAAATGAGTTGTCAATCCCTTAAGTTAAGAGATTCTGTAATTATTTTCTGTTTTTTAATCCCTTATTTCAAGGGATTACATCTCCTAGGATTAGTTTCCTTTCTTAGAGTTCCTAGTTTAGAGGCATAATTTGTATATAAATATGTAATATGTTCTACTGAATGTACACAAGAATAAAAATAACAGACTTGTCTGTTTTCTACAGTCTGTTTTCTACACAGTCTGTTTTCTACAACTGGATGCTCTTGTTTTCATTCCTCTCTATCAATTTCCTTTTTTTTTATCAATTGACTCTCTCTCTCTCACACACACACACACATGCAGACACACTCACTCGCTTACTCTCCATATTAAATATGTAAACTTATTTTCTGATCTCATAAGAGATATTGATGTCATCTCTGCGAGCTGAAAAGAAGGGATATCATTTTTACTGTTTGAGTTGGGTGGAAAGACATTTTCTTGTAGGATCTATATCTGTATTTATCCTATCTAGTATCTTGACTAGGTTTCTCTTTCTCCTAGTATAAAATAGACGTCTTACTTAGTTTCATCCTTGTTTTATGTACTTTAGAGTATATTCATTTTTTCTTCGACCATATGAAGTTCATACTTCTATTTTTTTATTTATATATAAGTTCCTCGCTGTAATACTATTCTTTGCCTCTTATGCAGCAAGGCTCAACAAGGCAGTCTCGTATTCAGCATTCATTGCTGAATATTCAGAATTCTTTGAATAGGAGAGGAGTGCAGACTCATTTCCCCACTTCTGCCAGAGTTTCAAGGTTGAGGAATCGAGTTTTGAATAAACTTCGAGCAGCACCGTCTAGGAGGAATTTTCAATTCCCTTTAGACATGGATTTGGATATGGTAATATACTTCCCCCTTCCCTTTACCCTTTTCCCTTTGGTGTATCCTGTATTGCTTTATTTTCAACAGTTCTAATTTATGGATTTCTGATACAGAGACTTGATATATTGAAAGCCATGGAGGCTGCAGTTGGAGATGCTGATGACATGGGAATGGCTAGTCGCATCTTCCAAGTTCAACGTGATTTTAATGAGTAAGACCATGCTCATTTCAATCAGCTATGTTTGATCACATTTCTATGTTGATTATGTTCTATTCGAAACCTCCTATGTTCTTACTGTTTACAAATTTGACCCGATACTGCTATATCTTATCTACTTTTCATTATATTGCAGAAACGATTATGAAATGCTGTTGGCCCTTGATGGTAACAATCATCAGCATGGTGGTGCATCAGTTAATCAGATTAACAGTTTGCCACTGTCCAAAGTTCAGGTATATACATAAGAAAACACCATATATGTATATATGTGGTCTTTTAATTTTGCTTCCTCATCCTTATGCATGCAAATACAGTGATGCTTACGTTTCACTAATCGGATTTAATTGCTACTACTTTTTTAATTAATGCAGACTGATAATTATGAAGCTTGTGCCTTATGTCTTGAAACTCCTGCTATTGGAGAAACCATCCGCCATCTTCCCTGTCTAAATAAATTTCACAAGGATGTAATGCCTTCTTTCTCTCCACAATGCCACTTTGTTTTTCTGTTTTCTCACATCGCTTTCAAGTTGCTTATCACTGGAGCTTAACATTATTTTGCTCTTCATTCCCTCGATGTGGCAGTGTATCGATCCATGGCTGAGGAGGAAAACACCATGCCCGGTTTGCAAGTCGTCTATTGTTTGAATGGGAGTGTTCTGGCGCAATATTGATGGAAAGTAAAAGGTCTTCAAGTGAACATCTATTGGAGGTACAATTCTTCTCAATAAACTCTTACAAAACTTTTGTTGTAGAAACCTGTTGGCTTATGGTGTTTACTTCACCTTTTCCTCGAACTCCATTCTAACTCTGAAGAAAATTTGCCTGTCTACTCTGACAGACTTTCAACTCTGACTCCGACTATCACCATTTTCGGTGATCATCGACTCACCCGCCAGCCACCAGCCTGTCGACCACCCATCCACCGATTAGGATGGACGGGTGTTGGAATTTAGGGATTTAGAAACTTTGGGGGGGTTTGAAGTCACGATTGACAACGGTCGATGGATGGGTAGGAGGCGACTAGTGGGTGCGGTAGCTGCGGTGGGTGGCCGGCTGGTGATGTGGATGCTTTGGGATTAAAGATTTTGGGACTTTTTTGAGATTTTAGAATTTTTTGAAAAATAATAATAATTTTAAGTTTTTTAAATAAATTTTTAAAAATTTATAAAGACACCACGTGTCACATTCTGAGTGGTCGGTAGAATTTTTTAACGTTTGTTAGGTCGAGGCACTTTAAATGATAATATTGGAAACGTTAGACACCTAAATTGACAAAAAAAAATAGGTACCTAAATGAAAAAAAGAGATATAACCTGGACACCTTTTTATATTAAGCCAAAAGAAATTGATTCTAACTTTTTGAAAAAGTATTGGATAATTTTTAAATTTGACACTTCAAATTAAATTTTCTAGCTATGCCCCTCCCTAGGCATATATACTTAACATGTTCCTATCACCGATGAAATGAATTATTCTTGAAATTTTGGTTTACACTACTTATGCATATATGCTTTACTAAGAAATGAATTATTCTAAAGAATGTCTTTTTCCCTTACATAACAGAATTAAATTCATTGCCATTCCCCATTGTTCTATCACACTCTTTGGTTTTACATAAATTTCTACATTTTCTATCTAATTTGAGATGGATTTCCAACCTTGCAGCAAATGCGGTCACTCTTCCTATGGATATCTTGAGAAGGTTGAAGGGAAATGTTGTGAAGACTGGAGGGAAGATCTACGTCTCCAATGGTGCCTTTGCATGTCAAGGCTGCAACAGTTGCCTGCACAAATCATGCGCGGTTAAAATGTGTCGTGATCTGTCTCAAGACATTACTCACCCCCTCCACCTGCAGCACCGACTTTTTCTAGTATGGAGTCATTTGGATTTCATTTGTGATAAATGTTTGTACATATCTGCTGGCTACAGATACAGATGTGTTTCCTGCTATTTCCGACTTGATTTCGCCTGTGCTTCTTCGGCCAGTGGTGAGCTTCCTAAAGATGAAGATCCGCTGAGGTTTAAAGATGGGAAGCAAAAGACAATCCAGCATTACAGCCACACTTGCCAGTTAAGCGTATTCAAATATAGGAAGATAAAAATAAATATTTAAGTCTTGTACTTCTGGTTAAATTATGCTTCATCTATAATAATATGCCAAGTAAATTCTAATTAAATATTCAAGATAATTCGCTCATCTTCTAAAAATACTGATTGTACTGTCGAAATCTACTACTTTTTGGGTTAATTAATCCAATAAAACTCATATCCAAAATAAGCCAATAATAAAAATAAATCAGTAATATCCAATCAAAAAATAAGAAATAAATAATAATAAATATATGTAATATTAAACACTCGTCAGTAATACCCATAATAAATATATACAATAAATGTCTCTTTCTAATTTGATAACTATTCTTTTTTTCCGATTTTTATTGATTTGTCTTTAGAAAATTAGGATTTTAGTCTTGATTGTGATAATTGAGATTTTATGCGATATTAAGTTTTTATTAATTGATAGATTAATAACTTGTAGAGTTGTTAATATCAAATCTTAAAATAAATTATGATTAGTTACCTTTATAATCTTGAATTTCTAGAATATGAATAAAAATTTAATGTTTTTGTTTAGAAATTATTGTTGTTGGTGTGATTTTTTTCATATTATATTTTCATAACAGTAAAAGATCCTTGAATGGTTTTTACTTTTGTAAAAAGAAAAAGAATCAGTTGTGTTTAAAGTTTATGTATATATATATGTTTTAAGGGTTAAATGCATTAAGAAAAAACATAATGGATTGTTGTGAAAAATGTATAAAATAATTATTTTTGATGTACTATTTTAGTTATTTTATAAGAAACGCCGTAGATTTGTGTTGATTGTAAGAGTTTTGAAGTATTTTATACCTCCAAAGGTTTTGGAAAATTGATTAAATCCCTAACAATTATCTTAGGGTTTTGGAAAATTTGTTGTTGGTGTGATTTTTTTTTCATATAATATTTTCATAACAGTAAAAGATTCTTGAATGGATTTGAATATTATACGTAATAATTGTCTCAGGAATCACAATCTGTTTAAATTTTTTTGCTTTTACACAGCTGCTGAAGCATATATACTTTACTGAAGAAATTAATTATTCTTCAAATTTGGAATGGGAAGTTGTTGCCATTACGCAACTTGTGCATATACACTTCGCGTGTTCCCATCGCTGAAGAAATGAATTGTTCTAAACTATACTTTAGGTGCCAACATGTGTTTTCCCTCACATAACACAATTGCCTTCATATTGTTCTATCTTTCATCACACTCTTTGTTTTCACATCAATTCCTACATTTTCCATCTTCTTTGTCCTTTGATATGGATTCCAGACTTCCCAGCAAATGTGATCACTCTTCCTATAGATATATTGAGAAGGTTAAAAAGCCTGATCGTAATCTGTCTCGTGAGATTACGCACCCCCTCCACCGCCAACACCGACTTCAACTCGGATGGAGACCTTGGGGTTTCATCTGTGATAAATGTTTGTATATATCTGCTGCTGACTACGGATACAGCTGTGTTTCCTGCGATTTCAGACTTGATCTCGCCTGTGCTTCTTCGGCCAGTGGTACTGAGCTTCCTAAAGATGAAGAGCCGCTGAGGTTTAAAGATGGGAAGAGAAAGACAATCCAGCATTACAGCCATGCTCACAAGCTGAGCTTCTTCAAATATAGGAAGATACACGAACAAGACTTGGATTGTTTCTGGTGTGAAAAGCATCTATCGGTAGTGTGCTATGGTTGTACAAAATGCAGGTTCTATCTTCATTCCGGATGCAGTGATAAGATACCAAGGACACTTGCTCATCATTTTCATATTCCTGGCCACACTCTTCGCTTAAGTTCTACCTTAGCGGTTGCAGGGGATTGCTTTGCTTGTAAAAGAAGTATTTATTATTCTAAGCTTCGGTATATTTGGGAGAAGTGTATCTTCCACCTTCATCTTGAATGTGCTAAACTCTTGCCCACCCTAAAACTTGCCTGCCACCCTCACCGTCTCGCTTACTTCAGAGGTACTTCTAAGTTGGATTGCCGTACCTGCGGCAAGCATTGCGGTGGTGATGATAGTATTTGTCGTTGTGTGCAATGCGATATTAGTTTCCATCTAAAATGTGTTGTACCATCCGAAGCTACATCAAAGTATCATAAGCATCCACTTATCCTAACCAAATCGGTCAAAGAAGATGATTCTGATGAATTTTGTTGCGATGTTTGTGAGAACGAAAGGGATCCGAAGCATCCTGTGTATTACTGTCAAAGTTGCACATTTGTGGCTCATATTCAATGTCTACTCCCTGATGTTGATGAGGTAATCATTCTTTTCACCGTTCAGTTTAATTTTTACAATCAAAGGGGAAACTTTTATTATCGGATTGTTAATGTCTTTGCTATTTTCAAATGATTTTTTTATATAAAAAATAAAAGTACGAATTAAATTTGTGAAGCTCTTGTCTTTGATTGAACTCTCATGGTTAATATTGTTTGATGAATAGGATCAAATTACATCCTCCATGGAAACGAGGAAGCTTTGTATGAGAAGGAAATGGAGCAGAATGAAGGGAGTAATGGCATCCACGCTCTGGTTTGCAACTATTTACATATTAACTAATTTTAAATTCAAAATTCTTTTCTTTTTTGGCTCATTCAAAATGAAATATCATTGCAAAACATAACACATGAGAGCTCCATAACCAAAACAGAAAACATAGCAACCCAATGCTTACTGCCTTCTACCCCCTAAACAATCCACAAACTATATAAAATTCTCAAGAAATGAATTTGTTCATTCTTTGACATACTTGTTTCTTTTTAAATGCAGTTTCGACCTATCATCCACAAACACCAAATGTATGAGGTAACCGAGGAGTTGAAAGGCGATAAATATTGTCGAGGTTGTCGTCTGGTACTTGATGGTCCTAGCTACTGTTAGATTTGTCTAGAAATTAAGTTGACGAGTTGGAAATTTCATCTTGGTTGGTGGCCAACTTATTGGAAATTTCATCTTGGTTGGTGGCAAAACTTTGAACATGTTAATTTCATATTTGGTGGCTAACTTGTACACATTGAAAAATTCTTTGGTAGGTGGCCAAACTTTGAACATATTGTTCTTAAAACTCAACTATAAATAGGCCTAAGTATTTCCATTAGAAATCATCCCAAAAAAACAAGTTCTCTCTTCCTCTTGTATTCTTCATTCTCCCACTTTGGGAATTCTAAAGAATTTCATTTGTTGTAATATTGGCGATATAGTGAAGTTATCATCTGGTGTGGTGCCCGAGGAGTAGACAATATTCTCGTCGAACCTCATAAATTTAGTGTGTTCTCTCCTTTATTGTTTTTATTCGGTTCTTTTTCCATTGTGTTTCAATATTCAATAGTTTGACAGGTTTATCTGCTGTGCAACCTTTGGTGGTTTTAATCTTGACATTTTAGGTCAAATTTTAAAACTACGTTCGTGTGAGAAATAACCCGTTTTCCCCAACAATTGGTATAGGAGCTTCGGTTGAGGTTATCCTGATGGTTCCGTTGCTGAAAAGATACAGTTCGTGATATTGAATATTGTTCGTTAGAATTAAAATGGCAAAATATGGATCAGTTGAGACATCAAACTCTTCATCTGGACCGGTGAGGAGGGTGATGTCAAATGCAAATTTCTCGGTGGAGTTGTTCGATGGATCCGGTCATTTTGGCATGTGGCAAGGCGAGGTGTTAGACGCTTTATTCCAACAAGGTCTAGACATCGCCATTGAGAAAGAAAAGACCGAATATATGGAGGAGAAAGAATGGGGAACAATCAATTGTTTGGCGTGCAGCACGATTCAATCTTGTCTTTCCAGGGAGCAGAAGTATGGCTACAAGAATGAGACTTCTGCAAGTAAGATGTGGAAAGCTTTGGAGGAAAAATTCCTAAAGAAAAGCTCTCAGAATCGTCTCCACATGAAGAAAAGGTTGTTCAGATTTGATTATCAACCAGGCACCAGTATGAATGAACACATCATTGCGTTCAATGAGCTAGTGGAAGACTTATTGGGCATGGATGAAACCTTCAAAGATGAAGATTTGGATTTGATGTTGTTGTCATCTCTTCCAGATGAATTTGAGCACCTTGAGACAACATTACTTCATGGTAAGGATAATGTTACCCTTAAAGATGTAACTGTTGCTTTGTATAGTTATGAACTCAGGAAGAAAACCGAGAAGGAGAGCAAGTACAAAGCAGTGGAGGCCATGGTGGCAAGAGGTGGCTCGAAAAGTCAAAAGCCAAAGTGGAGAAGGAGATCAAAGTCGAAGTCCAGACTGGAAAAAGATGAATGTGCCTTTTGTCATAAGAAATGTCATTGGAAGAAAGATTGTCCGAAGCTGAAAAAGAAAGGAAAAGTTGCTCCAGATGTATGTGTTGTAGACCATGATGCACATGACTCTGACATATCATTGGTTGCTTCATCAACAACATTCCATTCCGATGAGTGGATATTAGATTCGGGTTGCACCTATCATATGTCCCCCAATCGGGAGTGGTTCTCCGATTTAGTGGAACTAAATGCAGGAGTTGTTTATGGGCAATGACAATGCCTGTAAAACTGTTGGGATAGGTTCAATTCGATTGAAGAATCAAGATGGATCAACCAGAGTTCTGACGGATGTCCGATACGTGCCCAGTTTGAAGAAAAATCTCATATCGTTGGGAGCCTTGGAATCAAAAGGCTCAGTAGTCACTATGAGAGATGGAGTTTTAAAAGTCACATATGGCGCACTTGTGGTGATGAAGGGCATCAGGAAAAATAATTTGTATTACTACCAAGGTAGTACAATTATTGGAGCAGTTGCAGCAGTCTCCGGAGGTGATGATTTGGATGCAACCCAGTTGTGGCATATGCGGTTGGGACATGCTGGAGAGAAATCCTTGCAAATTCTAGCAAAGAAAGGATTGTTGAAAGGTGCAAAGGCTTGCAAATTGAACTTTTGCGAGCATTGTGTTCTGGGAAAGCAGAAGAGAGTGAAGTTTGGCACCACTATACATAATACAAGAGGTATTGTAGATTATATTCACTCAGATGTATGAGGTCCTTCAAAGACATCGTCTTTGGGAGGAAACCATTATTTTGTAACTTTTGTAGATGACTTTTCCAGAAGAGTTTGGGTGTATCCGATGAAGTCTAAAGATGAAGTGCTTCAAATTTTCCTGAAATGGAAAAATATGATCGAAAACCAGACTGGTAGAAAGATCAAACGTCTTAGGACGGACAATGAAGGGGAATATAAAAGTGACCTATTCTTTGACGTTTGCCATAAGTATGGTATTGTTCGACACTTCACTATTAGACATACACCACAACAAAATGGGGTGGCAGAGCATATGAATCGAACACTATTGGAGAAAGTTTGATGTATGTTGTCTAATGCTTGGTTAGCCAAGGCATTTTGGACTAGGCTGTGACATATGCTGGCAATCTCATCAATCATCTGCCGTCATCAGCGATAGGAGGAAAAACACCATTGGAGGTATGGTCTGGAAAACCTGCTACTGATTATGATTCCTTACATGTATTTGGATCCACTGCTTATTATCATGTGAAGGAATCCAAGCTTGATCCGAGAGCAAAGAAGGCTCTCTTTATAGGAATCACCCATGGAGTGAAGGGATTCCGCCTTTGGTGTTTAGACGCCAAGAAGATAATTTGTAGCAGAGAAGTTACCTTTGATGAATCTGCCTTAGTAAAGAAGGTAACAAGTGAAGCTGTCCAGACAAGTAGTACTCCGCAGCAGGTGGATCATACTCCAAAACAGGTGGAGTTTCAGCAGACGATGATCCCAGAAGTTGATGCAGCTGATTCTTCAACTCCAATAGAAGAATCAGAAGATGAAGAGGTTCAAACCCAAGAACCATTGGAGACACCAGAACCACTTGCAGTTACAAGGCCAATGAGAGAAATTCGTAGACCTGCTCGATTTGTTGATATGGTGGCCTATGCTCTTCCAGTTGTTGATGATGATATCTCTATCACTTACCAAGAAGCAATACAAAGCTTGGAAAATGATAAGTGGAAAAGTGTCATGGATGAAGAAATGCAATCTCTCCAAAAGAACAACACTTGGAAACTAGCACAATTACCGAAAGGTAAAAGAGCCATTGGATGCAAGTGGGTATTTGTAAAGAAAGATGGATCTCATAGCAAGAAAGATGATCGCTACAAGGCACGGTTGGTAGCTAAAGGCTACGCTCAAAAGGAGAGAATCGACTACAATGAAGTATTTCCCCCTGTTGTGAAGCATTCCTCCATTAGAATATTGTTGGCCTTGGTAGCACAGTTGAATTTGGAGCTAGCTCAACTTGATGTAAAGACGGCTTTCTTGCATGGTGATTTAGAAGATGAGATCTATATGACTCAGCCAGAAGGATACAAAGATGGTGGTTGTGAGAAATGGGTTTCTAAGCTGAACAAATCGCTATATGGATTGAAGAAATCTCCGAGGTAGTGGTACAAGCGATTTGATAGCTTTATGAGGAGGCAAAAATATACTAGAAGCAAATATGATCATTATGTGTATTTGCAAAAGCTCAAAGATGGATCTTTCATTTATCTTCTATTGTACGTTGACGATATGTTGATCGCTTCGAAGAGTCAAAAGGAGATAGACAAATTAAAGGCTCAGTTGAATCAAGAGTTTGAGATGAAAGATCTAGGTGAGGCCAAGAAGATTCTTGGAATGGAGATAAACAGAGATAGACAGAGAGGGAAGCTTTGTTTAACACAGAAGTAGTATATGAGAAAGGTATTACAATGTTTTGGCATGAATGAAAATACCAAACATGTAAGTATCCCATTGGCTTCTCATTTAAAACTTAGTTCTCAATTATCTCCTAAAACTAACGAAGAACGAGTGTATATGGCAAAAGTTCCATATGCTAATGCAGTTGGGAGCTTAATGTATATAATGGTGTGTATGCGTCCTGACATTTCACAAGCAGTTGGAGTTGTGAGCAGGTACATGCATGATCCTGAAGAAGGACATTGGCAAGCTGTGAAATGGATTCTACGGTATCTCCAACAAACCGTGGATGTTGGTTTAGTTTTTGAACAGGATGAAGCACTTGGTCAGTGTGTGGTTGGATATGTTGATTCCGATTATGCTGGTGATTTGGATAAGCGTCGATCAACTACTGGGTATTTGTTTACTCTTGCTAAAGCCCCAGTAAGTTTGAAGTCTACATTGCAATCTACGGTGGCCTTGTCTACTACAGAGGCAGAATACATGCCAGTTTCAGAGGCTGTAAAGGAAGTAATTTGGCTCAACAGGTTGATGGAAGACTTGGGAGTTGTTCAAAGTCACATTAGTCTCTATTGTGACAGTCAGAGCGCTATTCACTTAGCGAAAAATCAAGTCTACCATTCAAGGACTAAGCATATCGACGTGAGGTATCACTTTGTGCGGGAGATCTTTGAAGAAGGAAAGATTCTACTTCAGAAAATTGCGACATCAGAAAATCCTGCAGATATGATGACCAAGGTGGTAACAGTAATCAAGATCAATCATTGTTTGAACTTGATTAACATCCTGAAAGTATGAACACCTTCGGGTGTGTGGCGCTTGTGAGCACAATTAGAGGCATTACAAATTTGGGGAGTTGAAGAAGTTGAGTAGGCTTAGTAATTTCAAGCCAATGTGGAGATTTATTAGATTTGTCTAGAAATTAAGTTGACAAGTTGAAAATTTCATCTTGGTTGGTGGCCAACTTATTGGAAATTTCATCTTGGTTGGTGACTAAACTTTGAACATGTGAATTTCATATTTGGTGGCTAACTTGTACACATTGGAAAATTCTTTGGTAGGTGGCCAAACTTTGAACATATTGTTCTTAAAACTCAACTATAAATAGGCCTAAGTATTTTCATTAGAAATCATCCCAAAAAAACAAGTTCTCTCTTCCTCTTTTATTCTTCATTCTCCCACTTTGGGAATTCTAAAGAATTCCATTTGTTGTAATATTGGCGATATAGTGAAGTTATCATCCGGTGTGGTGCCCGAGGAGTAGACGATATTCTCGTCGAACCTCATAAATTTGGTGTGTTCTCTCCTTTATTGTTTTTATTCGGTTCTTTTCCATTGTGTTTCAATATTCAATAGTTTGACAGGTTTATCCGCTGTGCAACCTTTGGTGGTTTTAATCTTGACATTTTAGGTCAATTTTAAAACTACGTTCGTGTGGGAAATAATCCGTTTTCCCCAACAGCTACTTCTGTAAAGAATGTCGTTATGGCTTTTACCTGCATGAAAAATGCGCCAAATTGCAATACGAGATACGACACCCTTTGCATTCTATCCATCCTCTTAACTTGAATACTTCTATCCAACATTTTCTTGATGAAACAACGGGTTGGATAAATAGATACATTACATGTGATGAGTGTAAAGACATTTGTCATGGCTTTACATATTTGTGCGAGCAGTGTAATTTCATACTTGACGTGAAATGCGCTGCTCTAACTGCTCATGAACTTGGGGTTTCTCAAGAAAAAAAGATGGATAGAGTAACCGAGTTGCACCATTTCAGCCACCAACATAAGCTTGTCCTTGGCTACTGCAATGGCCCTATAGAAAAAACAAGATGCAGAATTTGTGAATTGTCAATCTTAGGTCCAGCCTATTTTTGCCCCGTGGCTTGCGATTATATTGTTCACGAGTCTTGCCTTAGGCTACCACAAAAGATTCAAGTCCCATTTCATCTAAAACACACGTTGGTTTTCCAACAACCTTGGAAGCACTTGCCACAATGTTATGCCTGCCCTTTGTACATATCATATGATAGCTTCGCATATAGTTGTGAAGATTGTCAACTTGACCTTCATCCTATATGTGCTAATTACTTAAAGAGACCCTTGAAATGCGAGTCCCACTTAGATGACCTTTATTATTTCGGGACAGATTATCAGTTACTCCTTGCAAAAGACAACTATATACCATGGAAAACACATTTTGCTTGTCATAAATGTGAAAATATCTGCAAAGGAGAGCCCTTTTATCGTTTTCTACAGTGTTCCATCAACTTTCATTTGAAATGTGTTCCCATACCAGATGTTGTTCAATCCAAATATCATCGTCATCCTCTGACCCTGACCGATTCTTTTGTCGAAGATGATTCTGGATTGTATTATTGTGATTTTTGTGAGGAAGAGAGAAACCCAAAAGATCATGTATATTATTGTAATGAATGTAACGGACGGATGATCACTCACATAGAATGCGTTCTTCAAAGAGAAGTAAGTTTATTACATCTAAAACTTTTTAAATATAGAGATATGATGCCTCTTTTATGTGACAAATTTCTATCAATATTTGCTCTTTCTGTTAGGTAGAGGACGTCAGCTGTGAAGAGAGTTTGTAGAAGAAGCGACGTGAAGGGCTCCAACCACAGCCAATTCAGCTGGAAAATGTTCCTGCCATGGTTACTGGTGTTTGGACTGATGATGCGAATTTGCAACTTAAGGCTACCACACAGTTTAGGGAATTGCTTTCAGTTGGTGAGAAAATTATTCTGAAATATATTTGATTTGATAATGATATAAAACTTAAATTATATACTTCAGTTCCATTTGTTATTTATCATAGAAAAAAGTCCACCTATTGACAAAGTAATACAACCTGGAGTTGTTCCTCGCTTTGTTGAGTTCCTTGAGAGGGAAGATTTCCCACAGCTTCAGGTTGGAATTCCTGTCAGCAAAGCTTCGACATTATGTCATAATCAGTTTAAGATTGTTGCTAATTTGATAATCGTTTAGTTTGAGGCAGCCTGGGTACTCACAAATATTGCTTCTGGGACATCTGAGAACACGAAGGTGGCGATTGATCACAGGGCTGTTCCGAAATTCGTCAAGTTACTTGGTTCCCGAAGTGATGATGTTCGCGAGCAGGTATGCATATGAAATGAACTTAAAGTAGTTTTATAATCTTACTTAGCAAAAGCTGGTATGAATCATATATATTCTTTGTGTTTTGGAATTCAGTCGATCTGGGCATTAGGAAATGTTGCCGGTGATTCTCCTGCAAGTCGTGATATTGTACTTGGACGTGGTGCTTTGCTTCCTTTATTGGCCCATTTGAATGAGCATCCTAAACTTACTGTGCTGAGAATTGTTACATGGACCCTGTTAAACTTTTTTCGGGGCAAGCCCCGGCCCCCATTTGATCAGGTTTGACCCTACCTCCCTCCTTTTATGGTCGACAATTGTTTATTTAACATGAATTAACAAGTTACTTCACGTTTAGCGTTATTGCTTTACAATGCAAAATCATTGTCTTAGATCTTTGAAATCTAATACGGTGGCTAATGAATGTTTTGTTATGTAGCTATGAAATTTTTATATACTCATTTCACTAACAGGGCTGAATTTATTATAATTGTACTAATTATTCAGGTTAAGCCTGCACTTCCAACATTGGCACGTCTTATTCATTCAAATGATGAACAAGTCCTATCTGATGCATGTTGGGCATTCTCATATCTTTCTGATGGCACAAATGCTGAAATCCAACCCGTCATTGAAGCTGGCGTATGCAGGCGTCTGGTGGAACTTTTGCAGTGAGTTACACTATGTTACGTTGATTAATTCTAGAAGTCTTTATATTTCCGGGTTTTTTTGTTTGTTTTCCTTACCAAAATCATAAATTATTTGGCTTCCATAGGCATCCATCACTTTCAGTGCTGAAACCTACTCTTCGCGTTTGTTTTATGTTGATTATCTTTTTGTTTATATATAATATGAATCATTTTGTGTTTTCTCATTTATGGATACACAGTGTATCATCGGTCATCAGGCGTTGCCATGCCTTTCGAAACTTTTGCCAAAAAAGAATAAAATGAGCATCAAGAAGGAAGCTTGTCGAACCATCTCAAATATCACAGCAAAAAATAAGGAGCATATACAAGTATCATTTGGAGCTATTTTCTTTTCATTTTTGGCTATCTATTTCACTTGATTTTATCAATTTTGCAGCTAAGATTGTGTCTGTGTTCATTTATATAATGAAATGGTATGAATTTTACAGGCTTTGATTGAAGCTGATATTATTGCTCCTCTGGTTCATCTACTAAAAAGTGGTGAAACACTTGATCTTAAGGGAGAAGCTGCACGGGCAATCTCACATATCACATCTCATGCGACTGAAAATCAGATCAAGTATGAAAATGATTTCCGATATATATTCGTTGTTTGGAATGATTTCTTGGTAGACAGGATAAATTACCTCATCTGGTGGCATTTGTCACAATGTTTCAGTTTTCTTGTAAGTCAAGGTTGCTTTAAGCCGTTGTGTGATCTTCTTAACTGTCGCGATCCAAGTATAATTGAAGTTAGCTTAGAAGGGCTTGAAAACATTTTAAAGATAGGAGGAGCTGCAAGGCCCATGTCAAATGCCACATCTCATGAGACTCGTGATCAGATCAGGTATAAAAATGGCTTCAATATAAATATATATATATTGTTGTGTGGAAACATGTCTTGGTAGAGACAGTCATTGATAAATCACAATATTTCAGGTTCCTTGTTAATCATGGTTGCATCAAGTCGTTGTGTGATCTTCTTATTCGTCGCGATCCGAGTATAATTGGGGTTTGCTTACAAGGGCTTGAAAACATTCTAGAGGTTGGAGAAGCTGATAAAACTAAAGGCACAACTGGAGGAGTGAATCCCTATGCAATAATTATTAGTGATGCAACGGGTAAAAATGTGATAGACCATTTACTGTATCATGATAATAATGAGATTCGTGAAAAGGCTCGTAAAGTTTTCGGGTTTGAGTAGAGGCGGAGGTAACATGACGATCTACTACTATCTCCATTTCATGCATGTGTTGCAGTGTTAATTCAGACAGGGATCGAGAGTTCTCTGGTTTTTCCTTTTTTATCCAAAGTTGTCTGCAATTTGATATTTCAGGGAGATACATCGCCTTGGATTGTAGCGCTTATGGAAATGATGGAACATTATTTGTCATGTCATGTGCTTGCTACACAATACTAAAATTTAGGAATCAAGGCTCTTTTATTTGTAACAATAACATAATTTATTTATTTTAATTCTACTACATTAATATATAATTTTAAATTTTAATATAGAACATAAAAATATAATCATTTCTTAATAAAATTTTAATTTGGAAATTACAAATTTCATCAATTAACTTTCTTTTTTACTCCTATTTTGTTTACTAAAGTTTAAAAAATTTTAATTTACTCATTCAACTCTTGATTATTTACTTTTTAAATATTTAACGATATTATGACTGAACATTTCCCTTCTAAAAATTATGAAATAGAACTAAAACTTTCATCATTTTTTTGTGAAAAAAAAAGTATAGTTTTGAATTTCCTTTAATTTTTTATTTTTTGATTATGAAACATATTCTTCCAAATTCCAACTATAAGGAGGTGAAGAAAGAGAAAACAAATTGTACATCTTGATCCAGGTGACATGTTAAGAAATGTTAAAATTTATGACAATATCATGTAAAATTAGATAGATATTATCATTAACTTTGTATTATCATTAGTGGCTAACAATCAAGTGATTAAAATTTTCAATATATTTTTATTCAAGTGTTTAAAGTATTTTTTATAACATATAGTCAAATCAAATGTAACAAATAGTTGAATTTATACATTTCATCGACAAAGATTGATGTGATTTTTTTTTTATAAATTTTAAATCTAATCTTAATTTTATTTAAAAGGGAGAGAAAGGGAGATTCTAAGGAAAGAAAGAGAAATGCTCATAATGAGTCTATAATCCATGACTTAAGAGAATATAAAATAATAAAGATAAGTAATTTAGTCAACCGATCATATATACTTACTCTGACAAAGGTTGATGTCTATAATGTTAGAAAAAAAAAACTTGATATAACCTTAATAACCCAAGACCTGTCATGTAAATTAATTAGCTGGATTCTTATATCCGATGTCAAGTTCTAACCAAAACTCAAATTCGAGTTCAAATTTAATGTTTTTAATATACCAATTAAAAAAAACTTGATATTTAAATCAAAGGCCACCTTTTTATGGACTAAAGATGCATCATAACATAGTCACAATGAAAGAATCTTTCCTATACTAGTAGGGTTGGTGGGGCAGTCGCATCCTTTAAAAATTTTAATTTTTTTTATTGAAAATTTGTTTTCATTCCCCGAAAATTTATAAGTTTATATTTCATTAAAAATTTATAAATTCATCATCCCTAACATAACATAAAGTTTTACGTTCGTCCATGTACCTTAATTCCTCTCAGCATCGAGTGATTACCCCATCAATGTTTGATCCCGAAAACGAGAATTGACTACGGCGAGGGCATTCCTTATACCCCTCTTTAGCAACTGACATTTGGATTTTGCCGATCAATGGTAACGCGATCAATATGAACTCACTTTGCTTCTATAAAAAAAACAATGAGTTGTGTATGATTGAATCAAACTAATATATGAATTTGCAACCTCCTCACAACCACCAAAATTTGCAACCTCCTCACAACCACCAAAACAAGGTAAGGCAAACTAGAACAAAAGCATATGCAAATTTAGACCTGTCTTTGCCAAGATTATGGATTTAGTAGCAAGAATTAAATTATCTAAATGGTTAAAAAGAAAGTTATTATTTTTTGGAGGTTTTGGGTTCAAACACATCGTCTGTTAGAATGTTTGAACATTTTATCAAATGATTAAGAATTTTTCTAACAAATAATACTTTGTAATCACCCAAAAATAATCCATCCTTCATGAGAATTGATCGAGTATTTTTGTCTTTCCCATAAAGGGATCATCCTTTTGTGCATTAAACCAATCAAAGTTAAATTAGTACCATCAATAGCATAACATTATAAGTAATTACGAAACGGAGACATAACAAATATATTCAAATTACTTAACTCAAAAAAGTTTAAATAATTACATTATATTTATCAATTTAAATAATTTAATTTTTTTCCATTTAATTTGACTTGATTGAACCAAATTGTCATTTTTAAATGTAATAGCAATATAGATAGGGATGGTCATTTCACTTGGATTCGACGGTTTCTAACTTGACTCGATTAGATTGATTTTTAAAAAATCAAATTGGATCGAGTCTGATCAAGTATTTTTTAAGGGTGTCATCAAGTCATGTTTGATTTTTAGAGTGAAAAAATCGATTTGATCCAATATAATGTTATAATTATATATTTTATATTTAAGAATAATCGTAATAACATTCCTTTCTATTTTGTTTTTTCAATTAAATCTTTATTTTACATAATAAAAATAATTATATGTATTTAGATCAAATCAGATACGCGTTTTAATTTAAAATTTAAATTAAATTTCAAATGAAATAATACTCTTCTAAATCAAGGTCGATTCAAGTAATCAAATGTAACTTTGACAAAAAATTTATTCAGACTCGACGCAAGGACAACCCTAAAAACGGAACGGGCCGAAAACGGTACAAGTACTGAAGCCTCCTTGGTAGTCACAGGCTCACAGCTAACGGGCCATTAATAGGAGGGGTGACCCCACGGTGCTTACGGTGGCGAGTGGAAGACACGCTCGGTCACCTATCCAAGTAAGCAGATGCTGCACTTCTGGGTCCCACGCCACGTAAATGAAATAGCAAGCGTAAAGCGCGTGGACTTGACCACCTTTCCAATAATTTATTTTTTTAATTTTTATTTTCAATATGTAGTTTTAATCTATTTCCTTTTTGGCTAAGTTGGGTTTTTTTATTCTTTTTTAATATCTTTTTATAATCAATTTTGGCTTTATATTGCCCTTATTACAAAACACAATTACATCTACTGCCATTTCATTAACCTTTTTATATAGACATTAATTATCATTATAATTCAGTAATTGATATAATAATAAATATTTGAACACAATAAAAATATATATTCTCAATGAAAATTCATTAATCAATCATATGATTCAAAAATATTATAATTGTTTTTCTATTAAATTGTTTAAAAGTTTCATGAAACTATGCAAAAATAGTGAGAGAGTGTAATAGACTAGCTGGCACTTATTAAACACACCATGTGTGGGCCATGTAAAGAAAGTCTGTTTGGCACCCAACATTACAGTTCACCCATATAAATTAAATATATGCTTTTTATTTTTTTATTTTCACTGTTTTGTACATATATAGTATATTTAGTGATTCTTTTTATAATCATCGTTATTTAATATATTTTCTGTTTAATATAAATCAAACAATAATTTTTTTAATTATATTATTGTGTTTAGTTTGACATGATTCCTCTCATATATAGTAATTTATTACGAATAATAATTTTTCAGTCTATTATTAATTTTTACACAATTCTTATCATTTTAAACTAAAATATTCTTCAAATTAGTCCTAATTTGAGGACTATCATTTTAAATTAATCCTCAAACTTTTGAATATTTCAATTTCATTCCTAAATTATGATCTTCATTATAAATTGGTCTTCAAATTATTGAATCTTTTAATTTTATAGTCATATTATTGTGTTTAGATTGACACGATTCTTCTCGTATATAGTAATATGTTACGAATCTTTTCCAACTCTATTATTGTGTAAACATTCCAATTTCATCCTTAAAATATTCAAACTATGAATCATTTTAAATTAATTCTTAAATTTTTGAGCATTCTAATCATATAAACTAGTCATTCTCCTTCGTCATTTTTTTATATTTTCAAATATATAAATAATGGGGGCATGTTTCAGATAAAATATAATTTCTTTTTAGTTTTATTCGTTTTTATGATAATCGGATAAGTGAAAATAAACGATTGAGATTATTTCTTTATTTTCTCTAGAAAATATCTAATCATTTCTTATTATTAAATATATTTTCATTCTAATATTATAAATTCTACTTATTAAAAACACATATCATAATGATAATTAAATAAAATGTTTATTCTAATAATTTTATATTCTTCCAACCAAATATTATAATTTTATATATTATTAAACAAATAAATAAAATAAAATTCAATAATATATTTGTAACATCCCGAAATTCGGGTCAGTGATTGAAATGAGAATTTTTGAAATGTGGTGATAAAAGTGGAATAGTTAAATAGTTTAATGACTTAATGGAAATATAGTTGAAAGTTGTTTGGTAATTATTGAATGAATTAAAGGGTAAAATGGTCAATTGACAAGTAAGATTTTTATTTCCCTTTATAAGATAAGGGAACCACGTGAAAGAGGAGAGATTTCTCCAGAGTTCTCTTCTTCTCCTTTCTTCTTCTTCTTCTTCACGTGAAGCCATAAGCAAATGTAAGATTTCTTGTTGGTTGATATTTAGCCGAATTTAAGATTGAGTTTAGATCATTAGATGATAATTAAGCTTAAGGAAAGCTTAATTTATCTTAAAACCATAAGATAAATGAGTCAAGAGAGATTAAAGATTAGAAGTTTTTAAAGGAAATCTTGAATGAAAGTTGATAAGTTAAATTGGAAGTTAAATTTGACTTGTCAAGGGTCTAATTAAGAAGTTAGAAGCCATAGAATTGGAATTAAAACATGTTGCAAAGTTGGTATAATTCTTGAGTTACATATGAGGAATAGGATTTTGAAGTTAAAGATGGTTTATATGGATATAAATTGGTTTAAGCATGTGTATATGAGTTAAGAACATGAAAGGGGATGAAAGATGAAGTATTTGAGTGGTTTTTCGTGCACGAAATAGAATTCTGGGCTAGTGTGCATCGGTACACATTCAACCTGTACCGATGCATCAAGGGTAAATTTCCAGAAATTGTTCAGTGTGTATCGATACACAGGAAGTGCATCGATGCACCCCTTAAAAATGGAAATATCGAATGCAATTAGTGCATCGATGCATAGGGAGTGCATCGATACACCCCTTTAATATTAAAACATCGAATGTGCTTTGTGTATTGATGCATGGGTAGTGCATCGATGCACATGTTAAGGGATGCATCGATA